ACAATGTACCATCAACTTTTTACATTAGCTTCTAAAGGGACATATAAATATATAAATATATATATATATTCCCCCCCCCCCACCGCCAAGTGCTTACTCATTTTGTGAGATCGGGCCTCACGTGATCAGTGAAATTTAACACTGTCACTGACCCTTGCTATGCCGGCACTACTGCATTTTCTGGACCAGCATTTGGGCTGCAGCTCCCCACAGAACAGCTTATGCTTTGGGTCATATTGCAGCTACAATTCCTGAACTGAGTGCGTGCTGCGGGCATCTTACAGCAGCTTTTAGCATTTCACAGGGCAGATTCCTGCATGGAGAAGACACCAGTGTGGAAAATAAAGAAGACATAAGTAATAGGGATGCTTGAATTCACCTGACCTGTCTCAAGGGAGGAGTCTCTTGGTAGTTTCAGACAGCAGAGAAATAAAAATAAAATTACATAATCAGGAATTCTCAAATGTTTGAGAGAGAAATGAAAGGCTGGCAATTTCTGGGCATCACCTGAAGCCTGCAAACAAAGAAGAAACCCAAATGTGTTAACAAATACTCTAGGCAGATTTTGAAGGAGAATCTCATGGCTTTAAATGGAAGCCTTGTTATTAGTATTTTTTATTCTCTTGAAGATCATGGTTCTTGTGGTGATTCAAAGTCACAGGCTAATTTACGTGGGTCAAATTAATTTTTCTAAGACAACCCAAATGTCTGCTTTCTTATGCCACAAATGTAGACATTTAGGCTTCCCGGGTGGGTGCAAAGCATCCTGGTGACACCCTCAGTCTGCCGGCCTCTGGGAGCAGATGGGAGAGGACTGAGCTGGAGCTGAGAGGAGACGCCTGTGCTGCCTGCCCTGGAGAACATAATGCTGGCAGTGGCTCCAGTAAGTAGCATGAAAATGGATTTTTCTGTGGAGTGGCAGAGACGCCAGGGATGTACAAAGAGTCTGCCTAGCAGACATGGCATTGCGCTGCCGTTACATACTTTTAAAGTGATTTGGATGAGATAACCTCTGCAAACTAAGTTATTTTTGTATTTTTAATTCTTCTTGTAACTAGCAGCTACTGTTCGCTGTATTTTAAGGAGCGGAGATTTTAGCTAAAGGATTACTATGTCGTTAATCAATCTATTGAATATTCATGATTTAGTGGATTTTTCCCCCACAGAAGGAGAGAAGTAATTATTTTGGCTAGCACTTGAAAAGTGTGTTTAGTGTTGATAGAAACTCTTCTGTACTAGGCAAAAATAGAAATTTTCTATTAGACATGCAAACTGATCTTTTCTCCCTGATACCAATAAATAACCTTTAGTTCTTTTTTTTTGTTTTGTAATATTCAATGCCTTTTTTTTTTTTTTTTTTTTTTTTTTTTTGTAAGTAAGGCATGGAAGTGCACAAACTGAGGAAGAAAAGGGGGAAAAAAAAGGAAACAACCTCCAGTGAAGGTTGAGCTAGTCTTTATTGAAACCCTGATTTAGAGAGTAGGGTCTTGACAGCCATTTTCACATTTACTGCACACTAACACTTTGCATAGACATTTACATTTTCTTAAGTCTCTTGCTGTGATGCAAATCTTAAATACTGGTTGGTGGAGTGTGTGAGGCTTGTTACTGTAAAAGCAGCGAATAAAACTCTCTAAGACTTACTTTGAAATCTTAGAAAGTGGGCATTCTTTATTATCAAAGCTGTAGTGTTGGAGACACGGGGATTGCTCCGCCAAAGTGTCTGCCTTATCAATGCCGACCAACCAGCCTTAGAATCACAAGGTTTACATGTTCATTACATTCATGGAATTATTTACAGATGTTCCTGCTATCTGTGCAGACTCAACGAATTGAGTCAGTGGTCCTGATGGTCATTGAGGCCTCTTCACCTTTGCCTGCTGGCTAGCCCTGAGCTTGGTTTTTGCTTTCCATTCCTTAAATGTTATTTTGCTGATGTGCCAACTCCAGTTGAGTTATGCACACTGCTCCATTTCTTTATTATTTTCCATCTCCAAGGTCGATCAACCACATGTTGCAACCGTTCCACTGCTTCCTTAGGTTATTAGCACTTAACTACATTCAACGTAAAGCACAAAAATTCCTTACTAGGCAGGACATATAGTACAAGGGTTTCTCCTTGTAGTATTATCCTTATCAGTTCCTTCCTATCAGTATTATTCAGGCCAAGAGACCTATCCGTACCAGGCTGTTCTCAAGACTTTTATGACACAAAGCATATTTTCTGGTGTCCTACTGGTGTACATCTTCAGTATATTTTGTCCTTATCAGTTTTTGCTCTGTAAAGCATACTGCTTTCTCCCATGTGGGGAGGCATAAAGGCATCTGCTGGCAGATATTACTGCAACTCAATGATGCAGATAGCTTTAGGCTATTTGGAAATATGGTAGAGTTGGCCAACTCTTGTGCAGAGCATGCTAGCAGTTGTTACTCCAGAGAGCTTAAAGGCATGTAATGATAGCTGCTAATTCTTTGGAGTTTGAGCCCTAGCAGTTTCTAGGATCTTGATCATCAGACCAGAAGTGATTGGCTATAGAAAGCTGAGCAAAGTGAGATGGCTCCCTGTGAATAAAGCAAGGGCAAACTCAAACTGTTGCTGCTGGTAAGAAGTAGAAAGGTCCTGTGAAACATGTGATGTTGCAAACCAGTTAGGGAGAGGAGAGATTAGTTTTTTTGTAAGGTGTCCCCCTGTCCCCACTGCTTCCCAAAAGGCCAATGCTGATTCACATTAGGAGTTTTGCATAGGCAAAGAATTTGCCCAGTTGCACCTCTTCCCCCGAGGCCAGCAGGAGAAAACCTCTCTCCTGTGTAATGGAGATGCTTTGCAGGTGGGCTGGCTGAATGTCCCAGATGATGGCTGTTTGTCAACTAACACAGCTTCAAAGTCTGTACTGTTCAGTTCTGCCTTTTATATAAAGAAAAGCAGCAACAATAACAGATACCTGGGAAAGTCTTTGAAAATCATCCTCGATACAAGTGGCGTTGTTGAATGTGGGTATTCTTAATTTATTTACAGCTCATGCTGTTTCCCAAACAATATATAACTTCAATTTATTTTTCGTACAAGTCTTTAGATTTATTTATTTTGTCCTGGCACACCACGTGCTGTCCACAGACCCACCATAAGGTGGGTTGTGGCTTTCTTCTTCCATCCCTGCTTTGTCTGGGGACTTACTTCTGCTCCTTTCAGAAGGGGGATGGTAAAAAATGCTCTCTTTCTCCTTTAGCTAACTGAAGCCCTCAAATTCAGTCTGTGCTTGCAGATTGAATTGTCCAAGGGGGGCAGTCTAGAAAACAAATGCGAAAATGGGAAGGTTATTGCTTTAGTCAAGCAGCTTTACAAAGCTTTTTATAATACCAGCTTGGGTTCCTTGGACTTGAGCTGCAAGGATTTTAGCAAGGTAAGAGTTAATGTTTCTTTTGTGTCAGTTGCATGGGGTGGTTTTTATTTTTCATTTTTATTTTTTTGGGGGGAGGTTTTTTTTTTTTTTCCCCATTAGGGTCATATTATATAACAGCGATGTGCCAAAATTTCTTAAATCTGTTTTTTTACAACTAGTGTTTTATAATTAAAATAGATCTTGCTGTTCCTTTGTAATGCAACAACGCTTAATTCAGTGGGAGCACTGTGTAATGAAGGACTTGCAGGAATGGATTCTACATCCAATACTGCTTTAAAATAAGCAGCAGGTAGTTTTCTGTTTATTTCTGAATATTCTGTGTCCTATTTCTGTTTTATTTCTCAATATTTCTGCCTCCTGACAGTCTAGAGACTATGTGGCCTTGCTTTTTGGTAAACAACTCTGCAAAGTTGCTTTTTGTTTTTGTGCATTTTTTACATTGCTATTATTGATAGAGGGAAAAATAGTATCAGTAGACAGCTGTGGAGATGAAACTCATGCTTACCATGTGCCAAAACACCCCAGACAACCCCCATACCTGCAGGTGTAATGGTAAGCTTCCCCTCAGTGCCTGCAAAAAGCTTTCATGGTTTTCATGAACATCTGGGGTAGAGGAAGCTTCATATCATTAAAATCACTCAGTTTTACCCTCTTTACCCTCTCAGGTGAAAGCCCTGTAAATGCGAGCATGGATGACTGACCAGCTGCCTTATTTCAACATCTGTCTACAAGAACTGTGCCCGACTCCCTTTTCTTTGGGATTGTAGCAGCATCCTGGATCTTAAGGTAGAAACCATGAAAGGTTGCACGTACAGTAAGAACTAAGTTTAAACTCCCAATCCTTTAAAGCAATTTTAGGTTTTTTTTTTTCCTTGGCATTATTTTTCCCCTTTTTTAATTATGGCTGGAAGGTGAGAGGGGATATTCTTGCACCTCGCGAAGGTGCCTTGTATGATCCAATGAGTCAGTGTTTGAGCTTCTAATCCATTTTCATGTCATCCTTCTGAAAAGCAGGGCTGACTGTGGCAAACTGATAAAGCTCTAAAGAGAGAGGCTTACTGCAGCTGTTCCGTTCGTAGCTGCCCTCTCGGATGAGAACTTTCAATATTCTGGCACCGAAATGCTGGATTTGAATTCCTGTTTGGGGTATGTAGCATCACAGCAATACAAACCTGGGAGCGTAGGAGGTAGGAGCTGACCACCTCGGTGCTTGATGCAGGACGTTTGGGGAAGGCAGGACGGGCTGCAGCTCGTGCTTAAACGCTGCCGTGGGCTCAGCCTCCATCCGTGTGGGACACAAGCCCAAGAGCCGAGCTGAGGCAGGGACCCCGAGTCGGGCCGGGGGCCGCCTGAACCCCCCCAGCACGGAAACTTTCCGAGCATCCTCTGCGCATCCCAGCCAGCCGGGGCAGGCCGGGGGGGGGCTGTTTTGAGGGGGTAGGGGCACACGGACCCCTCCAGCGCTCCTCGCCGCCAGGCCCGGCCCGGGGCCGCTCCCCCGAGCGTGCGCTGAGAGGGGCGGGGGCCGCTCCGCGACCGCCCCCCCGCTCCCCGCCCCGCCGCGCTGCGGCCGGGAGGCGGCGGCTGCGGCCGGGGAGGGCCCGAGAGAGGGGCCGGGAGGAGCCGTGCGGGAGCGGGGAGGGAGCGGGAGGAGCCGCGAGGGGCCGCCAGGGCCATGCCCCCCCCGCCCCGCACCGCGCCGCCGGCGGAGGCAGGCGCGGCGCTGCCGCAGGGCGCCCTGCGCCGGGCATGAAGTTACGGCGGAGCGGGGCGGGCGGTGCCTCCCCCGGGCGGCCGTAGCCCCGGGGCGGGCTCGGCACAGCCTCGGCAGCCGCCCCGCAGCCCCCCGCAGCGCGGTGCCGGTGCCGGTGGCGGAGCCGTGCCGGAGCCGAGCGATGTGCGCGCCGCGGCCGGCACCTGCCGCCCCGCTCCCCTAGCGCCTGCTGGCAGCGCGGCGGCTGGAGGTGCCCCTCGGGAAGTTTGATGGCTTCTTTGCGGAGAGTCAAAGTCCTGCTGGTGTTAAACTTGATCGCGGTGGCCGGCTTCGTCCTCTTCCTGGCCAAGTGCAGACCCATCACGGCCAAGAGCGGCGACTCCTTCCACGACGTCCATCCCCGGGCAGAAGTGGTCAACTTGACAGCCCACGGCATCGGCTCCATCCAGGATGCGGTGCTGAAGAGGCTCTCCCTCCTGGAAGACATAGTCTACAGGCAGCTCAATGGTAGGAGCGCGGCTGCTTCTAATGCCGTTTGGGCACGGGTGGGAGCGTCAGCTGAGGCAGAGGGCGAGCGCGACGATTTTGTGAAGTTTTTGTGCTAGAGCTGTGCCCTTTCCCGTGTTGTCGTGAGCATGGAGCTTCAGCTGACTGAATTGATTTGGTATCCGATTTCCAAGTTCTGTTCGTGTTAAAAGCTCAGAGTACCTTGCACAGGATGGGAGGAAAGCATAATAACATAATGCTGGCTTTCAGGTTTGTAGTACCGGCCAGGAAATTACAGTGTCATGATTTCTACATCAAATGAGAAGGGTGTTCAGTGGCCAAATACAGGGTTGGAGCGGCACGGCTTATATTGATTGAGGGAATGACTTTAACCACTGCCGAGCTGTCCTTTTTGGAAGGATCTTTTAAATGGCTAAAGCACATTGCGTTGTTGGAGTGCCGAAGGTCAGAAAGCAAATTGCTCTTTCTGTAATAAGTTAAGCAAACAATTCATTATTTCCTATGGCTTAGCCTTGACAGCTGCTAATTAAAACCTCAAGTAATGCTTCTCTTCATAGTGTAGCGAAGGGATTTCTATTAAAATCTCACCAGGTTCAGTAGTTGTGAAATGTAGAAAGGGAGTTTCAAAGATGCCGTGTGGGATAGAGAAACATGCTGTAAAGATGTAAGAAATCTAGGTGAGCTATCTAATTAAAACACTGACTGTGGAAGCTAATTTTTTTTTAAACTGTTCCCCACGGGTTCACAACTGGGAATGTGATCTCAATCAAGTCTTCCACTTCTTCCTTTGCATCTCTGTAGCTCTAAACGACTACCAGCTTTTGTATTGCAGAATTAGCAGAGTTAGTGTTTTTGGCAGTGGCAGTGTGATTCCCTCCCTGACTTTTGAATATGAAGCTAATGCATGATTCCGTGCTGCGTTCAGCTGAAAGCTGGCGTGCATCGTGTCTCTGTGCTGGATCGGAGCTATTGCTGCTTGCACTTCAGCACTGAGGATGTGAGGCAGGTGGGGGAATGCAGCGTACCCTTCCTGGTGTCTGGTAGTTGTCTTGGTCAGCATCTGTGCTTTGTTGAAGGTGCTATATGAAAGGAGAAGCACTCAGCAGAGTAGCGAAGTGTTATTTATACTGTTACTTTATGCACTTGCATGCAGTGCCTGTCCTGCCCGTGAGAACAGCTAGCACCACAGGATGTTGAGGCAGCGTTGTAGGGTGACAAACAAGGTGAAATGAAAGAACGGTAAGGGATAAGGTGGAGAAGTGTGTGTCATGTACAATGAAACTGAAACTCAGTGCTGGGGGATACTGCTCAGGGCAGAAGTTTCCAGGAAGGTTTAGGCACTTTACCTAAAAAGGGGCGATAGCTGCAGTTCAAGATAGGAGACCACATGCTGGGACTGTGGTATCGGACCTATAATCATGATGCTATCTACCATCCCCCAAATTCAGAGGCTAGTGAAATTATAAGCTAGTGCTCTTCTGTGGAGGTAAATGGGGGGGGGGTCCCTGCTCTGATGTGCTCTGAGGGATGCTTTTGGAGCTAACTGGTGTGCGAGGACAGCTCTGGACGTGCTGTGTCGGCGGGAGGCTGCTTAGTGCTGCGGAGCAGCCGTGCACCTGGAGAACAGCGGAGGCAGAGAGGTGCCAGATGCGTTGCCCGTATTACAAAGGTTTTCTTAGGGCAGGCGGGAAACTGAGCACATAAATGCGATGTCTTGCCTGGCCTCTGCGTACTGGGGTGATTTATGGCATTGCTGATGAGTCTGGCTGAAAAATAGCTCTGGTGTAGCAGTTACATAACTTTGGGCCAAGTATATATTTGGTATGCGTGGTTTTTAGAAAAAGTACTATGTGCTCTGTTCCCCGAGTCATGTCTGTGTTGTGCTTCAGAAAGGCACGGAGCATGATGCAGGGGGGCTGTGTGAACACCGTCAGCACCCCCAGCTCCGAAAGGATGCAGCCACAGCCAGGTGTGCTGAGACAGTCGGTGGGGTGGAGGATGCGGAGCAGCTGAACCAGCTTCCCTGCCAGGAGTTTGCTGAGCCCCCATCGGAGCTCGGTCTTCTCCTGGGTGCTTATCAAATAGTTAAAGCTGAAATCCTAGTGTCTGTGTGAAGTGCGCAGATATGAGCTCATTTCATTTTTTCTCTTTTTAGGATAGGAAAGTAGCATGCTGGTGACAAGTGCCAAACAAAGCCCGCCATATGCTCTTCAACAAGTTCTCTGCACAACGCGTCCACTGAGAGAATTTGTTCTGGTGCTTGAAGTTGTCTTTAGTTTTCAGTCTGACCTGTGGTTTAGCATGTATGAAATGTTTGAGTATCCTGTAGCATAGCACAAGGGAAGCCTGCAGCTCAGGGAGCGTTGGGAAATGTTTAGCCAAAGAGAGAAACTGAAACACAGTTTGGGTGGAATCAGCTACGGATTTTTGTCTGTGTTATAGGACTTGGCTGGATTTCCGTGCAAGCTGAAGCCATCTTTAAAAAAGTGAATTTTTTTAAAGGCTGCAATTCTGTACAGATCAAATGAGCAATCTGATCATGCCATTGCTGTATTTTTAGGTTTTTGAATCGTGGTATAAAACACATCAGAAAGAACAGATCTCTCTTGTATGGCAACCCTCATTTTATATGTGCGCCTGTTTATTTCTGTAAGTGCTGGCTATAAAAGCAAGCTAAACAACACTATATGCCTCTGGTCTGGTAAAGCAATGATTTTACACAATCATTCCTTTTGAATGATGTTCCTCTGCATTGCCGTTCTGGAAACAGCACCAGGACGGATCTTACTCCTCAGAGTAGATGCTCTTTGTGCACAAACAGCTGTCCCAAATGTGACCTGATCTGCTGCCCGCAGTGACACCTCATTTTCCTGGTGATGCATCTTGCTGGTCTTTTAGTGTTTTATGGCTGCAGTTAGGTGGTTTTGTCATGGCACAGCTACGGGACGCTTGTTTCAGATGCTGGAGAAAAAGAACACTGTGGGAATACTGAACTGGGCTGGGGACTGGCGATTAATTGCATCAAATGTTGCTCTTGCTTAGTTTTTGCCGTGGAGTCATTCGTATAGAATCTGTGAGAAGACTTACACCTGTGCAAATTTGTCTCTTTGCTCTTTTTTTTTTTTTGGCCTAAATCTGATTGAAAACTATACACACGCTTTGTTCTTTTAAAAATTGGTTATTCCTCCTTAGTTCATTGCACAAGTCTTGTGTTTTTTGCCTCTCGATTTTCTGTTGTTTTTTGCTAGTCTCTCATCAGATGGCTCCCACAGTCACAAAGAAGTGGGTGACCTTTGAATAGTCTATTGAAATGGAGGTTTTTGTTTGGGCACGCGCTTATCTCTGAATTCAGAGGATTTTTAATTTCTGTAGTCATTCTTTGGATGGAATATTCTTGTTGAGCAGATGTTAACAGAAAGCTAATGAAGGTCTGAAACGAACGTGTGCATTTTATTTTGGGTATTAACCACAACTTGTCTTTTTGATACAAACATGTTTTTTTTAATTATTATTATTATTATTTTTAATGGTAGCATTTAAATAAGTGTAAATTGTGTTACACATTACCTCCAACTTCATGGAGATTCACACAAATGAACTTTCAGTCTGGGTCCTTGTTCACAAAGAGGGGATCTCTGTGCCTATGTAAAAGGCAAGCTGGTTAGCTAGGGTGGAGCTGAAATAAAGACTCAGAAGAGTGCAGTCAGTATCTGCTGCAACCGTATGCCCCCTGAGAAGCGATGGGGTAAGGTTCTTTGATTTACCTGCTTTGCCTCTTTGGGGCTATTGCTGAATCTCACTAATGACCAGGAGGAATTTGAGAAATGTGTTTGTAGGATACTGAAACCACAAGGCAGGTCAAACTTCTTAACACAAAATTGCAGAGTCCTGAGATCAGTGGCATATATGATGAGTGACGTGATTTGAGGAAAGCTACAGCTTACCTGAAGAGACAGCTTACAAAGATTTTTCTTACTATGAGATCCCTCTTGATGGGATGTGTTGCATGGCGAGTAGCCGCTCGTCTTCTCTCCTGCAAGCAAGAGCCATGGGGGAATTGCCCAGCTAGCTTTGTTTGGCTGTTTCTTCTTCCTTGAGCTTTTGCATTTCTCTGCTCCGCTTCCCTTCATCCTCTTGAGGGTGAGCTCGATCCCAGCCTGGGTGTGCAAAAGGGAAATGTTCGCAGCAATGCAGGATGTGTTCACCCTGAGACAGAGAGGATAAGGGTGCTGTGTGCCCTTGGCAACGCCTGCCCAAGGTAGGAGGTGCGTTAGCAGGTTGGGTGTCGCCTGCCAAGATGCTGGTGGGATGTATATGGCCCATAAGCAGTTTCTCTTAAATGTGCAGGTTGCTGGTGTTGCACTGATGAATGTTCATGCCAGGCACAAGGAAAGAGCCTGGATATGATTTTGTGTGTTAGTTGTTTTTGTTTTTTTTTTTTTTTTTTTTTTTTTTTTTTTTTTGTCTTGTCCCTTTCCCTCTGGGTCTGATCCTACACTAAAGTGGGCAGTCCACTGTTCCTAAACCCTGCTTGCCAGATGCTCTTGAGGTCAATATAGGAACAGTGCAGTTATTGAGTAGTGCTGCCTGTAGGAGAATGAGAATCGCAGGGGGGAGTACTCCAAATAAACCCGTTTTGCCTGTGGGGAAGCCATCACCCATGTCTGCCATTGCAAAGCACCCTGAGCAAATACAAGTAAATTAGTTCTGCTGCTCACGGGCTATCTGAGGTAGTTATTTAGCCACCTCCCTGGTGTGCTGGGGTAAACGTCTGCATGGCTACTTGGGCCTTTTCAGCAGAGCTCCGAGTCATGGGTTGAAGCCTCCAAGAACTGTGAAGGCTGCAAAGTCCCCATCCAGTGCTTTTTGGCTGATGCACAGCAACAGCTAAACCTAGCGAGCAATCAGCTGCCTTGAAGTCAGTTAGACAGGAATGATGTGGTATCTTTTGGAGGAGAGTGGAAAAAAACAAATTTCAATATCAAAGTTCTTTAATTTGT